ATTTTGGCTAAGTTATTTTTGAGCTTATAAAGCATTGTTAAGCGAGCGATTGTCCTTCGAGATTGTAACGTTTTCCAGCCAAGAAGATTCAACATGCATGGCGAATGGCAGGATATATTGGTTTCAAATTTCTCAAAAACGAAGATAGTTTTGGAGAATTTTCAAAAAAGATTTGTATATAATTTTAACATTGTTTCAAATTAGGCAAACGCTAATATACATATATCATGTAAAGGTTGAGTTCGGGTGAAAATGTGGCATTTATCCGTTTTTTTAAATGGAAAAAAACTTTACTTTTGCATATAGTTTTGTGAAATTTTCAAGCCATTAGGGTTGTATATTAAAGCTAACATAACAAAAGAGGAACACTTATTCAGTTGACGATACGCTGTAACGCCACAACTGTTCCAAACATGCATATTTATGTTTTATTATTAATCCGTAATTGGATGGCAAATAGCTCTCGTCCGTTTCAATGCTCTTTAAAAAACTCACCCGTACGTGGATGTTTTATCGAAATTGTACTCGGAACCATCCTATTACCCATACTAATTTTAGGCAATTAGCGAAAATCGTATACTGTGAAAAGAATTTTAAGTCATAATGTAGTCCATTGTCCAGTCAAATGTTTACAATTTCCAAGGTTTAATTTGTTTTTGAATAGTGAAATTGCTGATTTATTTTTCTTGAGACGTAAAGAAAGTAAAAGGCAGATAAATACGACATCAACTGTAGAAATGTTTCAAATTTGTCCTCAGCTACAACCGTACAGCATATATCGTTGCTCAATATAAAACAAATTAAATATGATTAAAATAATATTTTAACGTTATAACAGGTGGATCACAGTACAAACAAGCTCCAGGATCCTTCATATTTTCTCTACGTAACAAAGAAAATCTCCCTCCTTTTAAAGTCTCACTGAAAGATCAAAACACTGGGAACGCAATTTACGCATCACCCGGTTATGGGCCAACATTTGGAAACGGTCACGATATACACATACCTGACAACGCGGCTTCGAATACCAACTCATACACACATTTTAATTACCAGTACCAAGCTCCATCTGGTGTCAGCAGCACAAGAGACATTTTGGCAGGAACTTACAATTTCACTCCGACTGAAATTGAAGTGTTCTGCCTTGTGCAGAACTGATCTCATGATTTGCCGTACCAAACATGGTTTTTTCTCAAAGATAACATCAATTAAGTTTATTTCACTTGTTACGAGCCGGTCCTTACTAATTTATTTGGCCGCGCTTTTGGTTCTATTTGTTCGCAACAAAGATTGTGAATCCAATTACTTTCAATGATATATTTACTTCCTTACTGATATATTACTCAAATCTCAATAATTAGCGTCTCTGTATTAACTTTTACTTATAATAATATAATTCTTAATACTGTTCAAACTTATCCCTTTCACGACTGAGTACAACTCTTCTATTCCTGACAATTCTTTATCTTTAATATCTTCGCCTTTTAATTCTTTCTTTAACTTGTAGTTTCTATATCTTCACGGCGATGTTATTCAGGCTTTCGCCTTATGAATAATGCATGAATTGTCTAGTTGTGCTCAGGCATTTATACGCTCTGCTAGGGGAAGAAACTACAAAACTACGACTCATTTCCCCTACGCAATACAGTTCGTTGAAGCAAGTCTCAGTGACCACAAATCGGCCAACGCCAAACTGAGTCATGTCCGCTACGTTAGTTGGGGACATCTTAATCTTTAAACTGTTTGCTTTCTCATGCATGTAAGCTATTTAATATGAATAAGTATAGTATAATAATATTTAATATATGCAAAATTACATGATAAGCATTATCATGTGACACACTAACATCAGATCTTAAACGGGGTTCAAACGCGTGGAAGTCGTCCCAAATTTTAAATTCTGAGGCATGAAAAAGAGGAAATGAGTGATATGGATAAGTCGGAGTCTATGGTTTTTGGTACAGCAAAACGTCTTGCAAAGGATGGAAATTCATCTATGTGTATCCAAATTGGAAGTGATGTAATTAGAAGTACCACTTCATATGTATATCTCGGTGTGAAGTTAGACCCAACGCTTAACTTTGGCCAGTATGTGCACAAAACCTTCAAGAAAACATCAAGTAAACTGAAAATGCTCAAGAAGATACGTTCTTCTTTGACAGTCCAGTCTGCTCGTATGATTTATCAGTCCATGATTGTTCCATTAATGACATGTTGTGATATGGTAACTTTAAATCTACCTGGATCATGGTTATCAAAGTTTGTCAATTTGGAAAATCGGGCAAAGAAGATTATTGCAAATGGATTAAGCATTGAAAACGATGATTTAAATATACGTGACTTTTACTCGACACGCATTTTTAACGCGGTTATGGTGGTTTTTAAATCTTTAAATGGTCTATCATGTGAACCATTTAATGACTATTTTCAAATTATGAGTCATCAACAAAACACCCGGAATAACGATTATTGTCTGCGACTACCGAAAGTCAAATTGGAAGTTGCCAGGAAAGGGTTTTATTTCCAAGGAGCTATGGCTTTTAATAAACTGCCTTTACATGTCCGCCAGATAAACTCCATTGTACATTTTAAAAGTGCTCTTAAGCAAATGAACAGTTTTTAGACATTAAGTATCATTATATGTTATGTACAGTATAGCGTATTAGCATTTTTATCTATAGATTTTTAAACTTAGTATTACAGGACCCTTAGTGATAGCAGTATTTAGTTATACTGAATAAGGTTTTATCCTGTATAAATAAAGTTTTAATAATAATAATAATAATAATAATAATGCAAAGAAATCACGGAATCTGATATATACACAGTGTCTTATATGATTAACGCCGCTAATTTTTAACGTAGATAAGCATGTTTATTATATAGTAGAGAGTGAGATACTGAAAAATACTGCACAGTGAGATATTTTCCATATCTTCACTAGTGAAGATATCGATCACGTAACTTTTTCCAATTTGCTTTTGAGCATATATAAAATTTTGCAATTTTTTTCTTGGGACTATATAATAGACAGAACACGGCGGCTTGAAGATATGACTTTTATTCTCTCGTGTTAAAAACAATATTTTACTCACTCGCTGCGCTCGTTCGTAAAATATTGTTTCACCACTGGGAGATACAGTAAAAGTCATATTTTCGCCGCAGTGTAATATCTTCTATATATACCCCATACATTGCATGTATTTATTATTTCAGTTAAATTGGCTATATTTCACTCTTTGTTTTTCAAACCGTTATATCCATTTTTCCATTTCTCAACGGAGTCAATATGTGTGAGGACCCCCCCCCCCAATAATTTTGAAAGACTGTAAAAACCTTGTACCAAGTAACACAAATCACACTCGTACAACGTAATTGTTTTCATAATGTAATAGTACTATACAGCTATTTCAATTAAGGTTGTCCACGAGCAAAGCGGAAAAGTCGAATACGGGCGCGAAAGGCTGCTGGGAATTGCTAACAAATTAATGAATTTTCATTGCGATTCCCAGCAGCTTTTCGCGCTCGTATTCGACTTTTCCGCTTTACTCGTGGACAACCTTAATTGAAATAGTTGTATGTTTCTGTACTGTACATTTCACAACATACGCATTTTATACGCTCTTTTTGACGGATACTAGGGGGTCAACTTTTTGCAATAGGCACTTCTTTAAATGTAATTGTCCATTTTTTGTTGTTTCAGAAGCTTACACCATTGTTTAGCGGAGAACTTTCCTGCTGCACAATAATATTTGAATGCGTATTAAATTATTATGCTCAAAAACGATGGATAATTCAATTAACATCATCACTTAGACAATAAATTTTTACATTGTCATTGGCGTGTTAATTAAATTAAAGCACCTTGTAATTCCATTCACAAGTGTAAATAATCATTTAAATATTTTCTCCGAAATGTTGGTTTCTACACTTAGCATGTGGTTTATAACAAAACGCACCATTAAAACAGTATTTTGAAAACCTAGTTTTTTACAAAATGTGTTTCTCAGAATGCTGGAAATGCCATTTCCGGGAATCAAATTTTAAAATTTTTCCGTGCCTTCGGCACGAGTCCTCCAAATTTCATGAAGTGTTCAGCACTGTGACTAATACGTTAGTAGTGGCTAACTAATTTTCTGATATTATCGTTAAATGTCACGAGCTTTGTGCAGGATGTTTATTATGTAACAAATTTAGTGTAATTTCTACGAGAGCGTAGTTAAATCACAATTATCGTTAGCGGTTTGGCGTTAGCCGTAAATGTCAAACTAAAGTTCTCTAATTATGAGCTGAAAGATACTGCAGTATGCATGGAAAGTTCCATGTAAAGAAAGACCTTTCTGTTTTTAATTGCACCATTTGAATAGCTATTGAGTATTGTAACACAGAATTATTTTTGCAACAGAAATGTGGAACGCTGGTATCTTTCGCCTTTCTGAAAGGGTGGGTCATAATTTTTTAGCACCAATTTAAAGGTGGGCTACGAATTTTCGAGCAGCTATTAAGGGGTGGGCTACCAAAATTGCAAACACCAAACATATGATCCCCCCCCCCTTCTACTTTATGACCGGTCCCTAAACGTTTTTTGTGATCTTCACTTGTTTCTGATTTAGATCGAAACTCGTTTCGGTCTTTTTGTTTCTGACTATATCTGATTAATCGTTCATTGCACCCCACGGCGAAATAATTAAAGTACAATAATTTAAAACACGAGTAGGAGTGTTTGACCAGATGTAATCATACTAATTAGGATGAACAATTATATAAAGAATACTAATGAAGACGAGTTTTATCAGATATAAGGAGCGTTTCTTTTGTAAATCTAGATTTGGATTTTTAGGATTCAGATTTTTTGGATTCGTTAAACAAATGGAACGAATTGTGAGAATCGGAATTCGGCTGCTGTTTTTCCGCCATTTTTTCTGTCCCACTATACCTTTCGGTCGGGTCAAGGTACATGCTAGAAGGCCAGAAACTCAAAAGGAACGTTGAATCCTAATCAAGATTCAGATTGAATCCGAAAAATACATATGTTGAGGTGGATTCATCAGATTCGAATCTATTTTAAGATTTTGTTAAATGAAACTGAAAATCGATAATCGGATTCGAAGATCCAAATCCAGATTGTACTAAAGGAACGCACCCATAATGTCACTCCACGTGACATATTATGGCTGACCATAGAACATAGAACATCATGGTGTTCAGATGTGTGCTCCTTGGCTTGTATTTTTTTCTAAATTTAGTGAATATAGTGCAAAATATATCTCTTGGAAAACACAGACACGCATTTATCAGTGATGCTAGATATCATTTTGTCGATAAAAGTCTGATAAAGAGTCTAAAGAGTAAGGGATTGTATTGGTGTATCCGTCAAGACCGGAAACTGAGAAGACATATTGGCTTCGGAGTTAAGTATGCCTTTGTGCTTTAGTTTGATTCGTATGCACACAGGACTTTGTGTACTTCACTCCTTTTAATAGCGGATGATATAGCCATCAACCCGGGTCCAATACAAATGACATGTGCTAATAATGGGCATATTAGAGCTTCGCTGAGGCGGACTAGTGATAATAATCCAGCGAGAAACCTGTCTGTCCTATATGCAAATGCAAGAAGTATTGTAAACAAGACAACGAAACTAAGCTTAGAAATAAATGCAGAACAATTCGACGTAGTAATCCTAACTGAAACTCATCTAGATAACACGATAAAAGACTCGGAAATATTTCCAAATAATTTCACGGTATTTAGGAAAGATCGCCATCACCTTGGCCGCTCTGGAGGGGAGTTTTAATTGCCGCTAAAAACACATTTAAAATTTATCATAGACAAGACATAGTTTGCACATCAGAGTTATTGTTCGTGGATATTATATTAAATTACAACAAAAGATTAACATTAGGTGTGTTTTATAGACCGCCTAATAAAGATTTACAACTTCCCAGTGAACTACAGACGATTCTCAATGATATTACGACAGATGAAATTATTATTTTTGGGAGATTTTAATTTAGCTGACGTCGATTGGATAAATATTAAATCACAAAAGGACACCCCATTGCATAATCTCTTGATAGAGATTATTCATCATAATTTTCTGACGCAGATGTTACATCAACCGACAAGAAACAAAAATATTTCAGATCTTATTTTAACGACCTCAGTGGATTATGTACAAGATGTGGAAGTTGGTGACCCTTTCTCGGACCATAATGAGATAACGTTCAAAAAATATTGTAACACATAATACTATGAGAATAGGAAATCAAGGAGACGGTTTTGCTCTTACAAGAGAGCAGATTGGAACAAATTGAAAGAGTTACTTTCTCTAACCCCTTGGGAACTTGCGTGGGATGATGGGGTTATTAACAATAATTGGTTCGCGTGGAAAGATCTTTTTTTGATCGCCATCGATGAGTGCATTCCAAAAGTAAACGCCAAGGAAAAGTACAATCTTCCATGAATAAGTAGGGAATTGGTCAAGTTGTGTAGAAAAAAGAAAACGGTTTTTAAAAGAGCGAAAAATTACAATTATTACAAAAAAACTTAATGTATTGGTTAAAAGGAATTTCAATTCAGCGCGGCGAAAGTATATAACTGATTTATCAGAAGAAATAACACAGAATAACAGCAAGCCATTTTGGCAGTATGTAAATTCAAAACGTAAAGGTACTAATTACCTTGTTTTATTAAAACTGGGGGGAAATGAGATCACCGATGACACGGATATCGCAGAATCTATGAATACATATTTCTCTTCTGTTTTTACAGAAGAAAACCTTGAAGATTTTCGAACAATGGCAATGGACCGTGTTGTGCACGACGAGTTGAGCAATGTTGACTGTGCAGATGATGAAATCGAAAGTTATTTAAAAATTTTGGAAGCTAATAAGTCTCCGGGGCCGGATACAATTTCACCTCGGTTCTAAAGGAATGCGCCTCCCATGCAGTTAGCACCATCTCTAACCAGATTGTTCAATAGGTCCATTTTTTCTGGTCCTCTTCCGCATGATTGGAAACTAGCCAAAATAGCCCCAATAGACAAGAAAGGTAGACATAAACGAGGAAATCATTGACAAATATCCCTCACGTCAATTATTGTAAAAATAGGGGAGAGAATTGTTCGAGCAAGATGTATGAAATTTTGGAGCACCCGTCGAGTATTTAATCCAAATCAATTCGGTTACCTTAGTCAAAAATCTACCGTGCCTCAATTGCTGCTGAGTTACAACGACTGGGCTAAAGCAAGAAATGAAGGTAATACTACAGATGTAGCATTTCTTAATTGATTTTGCTAAAGCGTTTGATAGCGTCCCCAACGAACGTCTCCTATATAAACTGGAACAGTATGGTATTGCGGAGTCGCTATTAACATGGTTTAGAAATTTCCTTGTAGGTCGTCAACAGAAGGTAGTGGTCCGAGGTTCATGTTCATCATGGTCTATTGTTAAATCAAGGGTTCCGCAAGGAACAATTTTGGGACCTATCCTCTTCTTAATTTATATAAATGATGAAATTATCGGGTATCTTTATACAGGTGGCGATGAGCTTCAATTGGATTTGGATAAAATGAGCAACTGGGCGAATACATGGCAATTACGCTTTAATTCTGGTAAGTGCGAGGTTATGAGAATTACGCATCGTCAAGATTTTTCAACTCCTGTGTATTATTTATCTGCAAAGAACAAAGTGGAAAAAGCCAATCGTGTGTTAGGAATCATTAATTAAGCGGACGGTAGGAACTTCAAATATGAACGTTTTCATGCTTTTATATAAGACTCTAGTAAGACCTATATTGGAGTATGCTGAGCCTATGTGCATGGTCACCTTATTTAGTAAAAGATGTAAAGGGCTTGGAAAGTGCACAAAGAAGAGCCTCCTGCAGGATGGCGTTAATATTAAATCAAAAACGTGGAGAAATGCCCTATGACAGTCGATGTGAAATTATAAAACTGGATACATTGCAAAAGCGTATATAGGGAATATTCTTCACTAATAGAGTGTTATAAGACGGTGTTCGGACTTAATGGTATTTCATTTGATGAAGTTTTTTAATTTAGACATATTTGAAAAACTCGATGTAATCATTAATATACATTATACTCAAAACTATCTAGAGTAAATTGCTTTCAACATTCTTTTTTGTCAGAATTATTAATTTGTGGAATGGTTTATCAGCGCCTGTTGCGGAAGCTGATAGGCTTTCACTTTTTAAAATTAGATTAAAAGAGCATATGGACATGTACTCTTAGTAACTGATGTTTGATAACAATTTTTTAACGTAGATTTAGTGTAGGTAAGGGGAACTACTCAAATAGGGTCAACCTCATGGTTCTCCTGCAAGAACATTGGTATCACAATAAGTTGTATCTTTGTATCTTGAATAAATTATTATTTAATTTGATTTATTTGATTTGACATGATTTGCCACACAGTTTATGAATTATTAATGAGTATTTTAATAAAATTTAGCATATACTCGGACATGAATCATTCAGAATTCTAAGTTGTTTGGGCGATATATAAATCATACTGATGTCCGTAGTCGTAATATACTAAAAGTCTTTCAGATACTAAGTTTAACTTATTTGTGTAAAATGTTGTCTTAGTTTAAATAAAAAAGCTGATTTGTTGCAAAGATCAGTGCCTCTTAGTTATTTTAGAACGGTATTAACTGTTACTTTTACTATGTAATCGCTTGGTGAAAATGAATATCATTGGTTTTTTGTTTTGTGGAAACATGACGCCCGTTTTTATAATTAATGATTTCACAAAGCTTTTGATGTGCATTCTCAAGATCCCCCGAATCAAAATGCAATAGCCATTTTCCTGATTTGTTCAATCTAATTAAACACATGGATTTTCACAAACGTGATATTATATTGAAACAAGTCTATTAAAGCCAATGTTATAAATGTTTTAAAAATAATCTTTGATTCACCAAATGGATCACTGAAATCATGCATCAGTTGTGTTAAGTATTAGTAGGTTTGTTTCACAGACATAACATGCATGCACTGGTTTCACTACACCAATTTTGGTAATCTTGATGGTCAAAAATCATGTCTTAATTGTAAGATTGAATTTTCGCGAAGCGCCAACGATAACGGTTGTGGAAAAATCTGAAAAACATTGCTGTTTCTGCAAGAAACAAAATTTATGTTCAGTCTCATGAACTAAACAGTATTACGTTATTCAATTGGTGTACAACCAGCTGTTAATCAAACAAGTTTTATCTGGCACAAATTTCGTATTTATTCAATTTAGATGAATGTCAGCATTAAATAATTATCACTTATTTACTGAGACCGAGGGAAACAGTGTGTTTTGTGGACCCGAGACCGTCGATGGCACAAAACACACCGCATTCCCGAGGTCTCAGTAAATAAGTGTTTTATTATATATCAATAGTCAAAGAAACAACAAATTAAAGAACAAATGAACGTAAATACATGAAATATTTTATTGTTAAAACGTTATATTAAACACTGGCTACACTGCAGTTACTTAAAGCGAAAGTTTTAATTACGTGCTAGGCATGTCCAAAGGTCGCATCTTCACGTGATGGCGCACGTGATTTTTTTTGTTATTCGCCGGTCGATAACGTATTATCTCCCTCTCGCGCTGTTGCTAGGGAGACAGCCTAATTTCGTCACTCTCACG